TTCTTTCCATTTGAATTCATTACTTAAACATTTAATTATTTAATGGGCTATTTAATTGTTTTTGGTACTCCTGGCCCTCCATACCTTGGTATAAGCTAACTGTGAGCATGAACCCACAGCCACTGTGCAGCAGTCACACACTCTGTAAACCCATCTCAGTGCAGCGAACTCACCTGTTCATCCTGCAGAGGATTCTCATGCAGCCTTTAAATGACACAGTCAGTCTGCCTCAGTTTGATTAGCAGCAGCTTTATGAACAAACACAACGTGACAGATTTAAAACCACGAGACTTCCACGTGAGCTTTAAATGAGCGTCCTTCTTCCTCTCCCGTCCTTCTTTCTAATCTGTCTCCATCTCTGAGTGAACTTAGCTCTCTGTCTTTTCTCTCCCTGTCAAATACAGCAGCTGCAGCACACTGTGAGACAAACTGCACACACAGAGTTTGTGTTTGCAGATGTTTGTTGAGCTGATAAGTGTCAGCTGATAAAAATGAGCTGCCAGCGTTGCTCCTGTAGTGCTAGCTCGATGCCAAAGAGTGTCTGTGTGTGAGACGTTATAACCTGAGTTATTTTTGTGCACAGAGTCTCCGACTGCAGTGCAACAGACAGAATCCGTCCAATAAGAAGCTGCCGTCATCAACGCCATCTGACAAAGCTCTGAGGAAATATGAACACAAGATCAACCTGGGTACGAAACACGCACACACACACACACACACACACACGCACACACACACAGACACACACACACACACACGCACGCACGCACACACACACACACACACAAGCCCGGTCAGCTATCTTAGTGAGGACCTTCATTGGCATAATGCTTTCCCTAACCCTGACCATAAAACCACATGTTGAGCCTCATAAAGGCTTCACACTTGTGAGGACCGTGAGTGTGTGTGTGTGTGTGTGTGTGTGTGTGTGTGTGTGTGTGTGTGTGTGTCCTCACGAGTGACTGTTGGTCCTCACAGAGATAGCTAGACAGGAACACACACACAGCTTTTTAGTTTCGTGAAGCTCTTAAACGACATCGATGTGGCATTTCATCCGCCTTTCAGAGCTGTCTGCTCACAGCTGATTGTCAGTATTGATTGTATTGATTGATCACCTGCACCCAACAGCCTGCTATAAGCCGCCGTGGAGGTCTGGAGCCAATGAAGCATCATCGAGTCTGCGTCTCTGGTCCAACGTTGGTGTAGGCTTTTTAGTTACGATCAGGAATCGATTGAATTGATTGATCGTCTTTGTTTTCCGGCAGACAAACTGAACTACGCAGACTCGGTGATCAATAAAGTGACGACGATGCAGAAACAGAGAGAAGCCGACACGTGAGTCTGAGAGCAGCCGATGATGCTGCCATCAGCCGTGGTGTTCCTGCTGTGACTCACATCCTGATTGGCTTCTCTCCACAGGTACAGAGTGAGGGACAAATCAGATCGAGCCACAGTGGAACAGGTGAGTTCCTGTAGCGGCTCTAGAGCACCCCGAGGCGACTGTTGTTGTGACGCGATGCTACCACCTTTACTGAGTTCTTTAGGAAAGAACTGCCAGGAGGTGAAAGATCATCAATAAGGTGAAGATCAATAAGCAGCTGATGCTTTCTTCTTCTTCAGGTGTTAGACCCTCGAACTCGAATGATTCTCTTTAAGATGCTGAGTCGAGGAATTATCTCCGAGATCAACGGCTGCATCAGCACCGGGAAGGAGGTCAGACCATTCACTAATCGCTCGATCAATACGCCGAACAGTTACACGTGCGCTGATCAATACTCGTCCCTCTCAGGCAAACGTTTATCACGCCAGCACAGCAGCCGGGGACAGCAGAGCCATCAAGATCTACAAGACGTCCATCCTGCTGTTCAAAGACCGCGATAAGTACGTCAGCGGGGAGTTCAGGTGAGTCCGGCACCACAGAAGAAGAGCGCTCAGGTACACCGCGAGCACTTCCTGTTGCCTCCAGGTACAGCCGGAGACTCCTTCAGGAACAGTTTGTCCTGTTGTTCTGCAGGTTCCGTCATGGGTACTGTAAAGGAAACCCCCGGAAGATGGTGAGAACATGGGCAGAGAAGGAGATGAGGAACCTCATCAGGTCAGAACCTTTGTAACCACACCCAGAACCAAACAGAACCGGTTCTGACTGCTAGAACCCAGTAAAGCCTGTGTCGAGCGTTAGAGTCCATTAGAGATGTTCTTACTGATAACATGGACCCGCTCTGATTGCAGAACTTGTTCTGATTGCTAGAACCCGGTAGAACTGGAGGGTTTGTGTGTGTTTCAGGCTGCAGACGGCGGGAATCCCGAGCCCAGAACCTCTCCTCCTCAGAAGTCATGTTCTGCTGATGGGGTTCATTGGAAAAGACAACGTGTAGGTATCGGTCCGATTAATAATCAATCACATCAGCAGTCTTACACTGATTTTAAGGTGATTTTACAGTTTTCAGTTCTGACTGCTGTCTTCAGCTCAGGAAACTGACCTGAACTTTGATAAGGCTGCGCAAACCTGCAGTCACCTGACATCGGAAGCTCACCTGGATGATGATGAAAGGTGTCTGACCACGCTACATCCAGATGAACACAATCAGTTTTTTAGGACTTACCTGGATGATTGAACATGCATCAAGACGTGTTCACATTGGTAAGGACTGACTGAAGCGACTGTGCACGTGTGAGCAAACACCACGTGAGATGCAGCAGCTGCCTGAGATTCAGCCTCAGATGCAGCTGAAACAGGATCCACATCCAAGGTTCTTTATTCGTCACATGCATAGTTATACAAGTATAACACACAGTGAAATGTAACCTGACACGCTCCTCGACTTGTGCAAAAAGGGGGGGAGAACATTATATATAAATATATATATACATTAGGTGCAGTAGTAGCATGTATGCAGCAAGCAGGTGAATTCTGCGCATTAAGTGAATAAATAAGAAGTCAGTGCTACAGGCAGAAACATGGGTGTGCCATGGGCTCCCCAGCTTCACCCATCGTGGCCAATTTGCACACAGAGGAAGTGTAAAAGAGGGCTTTGCTACCCTGGAACAGCACAGAATCACTGGTTCAGGTATGTGGATGACACCTGGGTGAAAATCAAATCTCAGGACGTAC